CAGTATGTATAGCGCCAAATGAAATGGTGTTTTTTCTCAAAGCCTTCACAATGTAAGGTTACGGTCTTAAAGTAATACACAGCAAGGTAAGCTTGCAGCGTATTACTTTAAGGTCTTAACCTTACAGTATTAAAAAGAAAACCCCAACAGACAAACTCTGAGCAAGCAATATGTAACAGTGGAGAGGAAAAACCAGAGGTGGAAGTAACGAATTACAAATACTCACGTTACTATAATTAACTAGATTTTGGGGGGGGTACTTGTACTTTTATGAGTAATTTTTCAAGTGTGAAATTTTACTCGTACTTGAGTACAATATAGACCATGTGATCTACTTCGCTACTTATAAAATCAAAAGTCGCAATTGAGTATGCCCAGAATTTGAATTAATATTCAAACCTTTCATCTGCATCTTTGCAGCCAATAAGACCGTGCAATCGCGACCGCGCCAATTTAAGACGCAAGCAACCTCCGCTGCTGAACAAATTTATAGACTGAAGATTTGGAGACAAAGAAGCCCAAATGGAGACAGAAGACAACGCCGTCAACCGAGAAAACGATGTAGAAAAGACGGAGGACGTGTGGCTGTACCCGGATGAATGGGTTTTTCATGTAGAGAGGGAGAAAAGGAGACAGCGTCCAGATGCAGTGCAAACTTTGACCTCTACAGTGATATCAGCTTACAAGACTTCAGCATCTAATCTAAAAAAAAAACACATTGAGGTAAGAAGTCTTACAGCTATACGTGTACGATATTGTTTTTTTATTTTTCATGTGTGTTAAGGTCATTAGTTTGGCTAAGATATTGTCACTGCCGTTGGTTAGCCTGATACAGTATTAAAGTAACACGGAGCTAGCTAACTTGTATAATATAACATAATTGAGCTACACTTCTTAGGAATGTTTTAGCTTATTTGGACAACCATCATCATTACAGTAAATTAAATCTTGAGTCATTTAAAACTCAGAGGCCTAAAATCAGCTGGTCTATATTTAAAAACAAAAATGGCACACACTGCTGAGCTGCATCTCAAATTAATCTTCCAGCTCACTGGAGCCGACTGATGGATCAGTATCATTGGCCAAATGACATGGGTCTTAATCGGTAGGGTTATGTTTCCCAATGTGATTTTTTTTTTTTACAGAACATAATGTGGATTGTTTTGATTTGTTAGCTCAATGGGCAGCATTTTTGTATATGTGATCCCTTTTCTGAACTAGCCTGCAAAAGATTGAGAGGGTGTCACACATTTGACATGTTTGCCGGTTCTCTTGATGATCAAGGTAAATATGTGAGTAAAATTGGACACCTACCAATATGGTTGCAAATTTTGTGAATTTTCTTTAATAGACGGTTGAAAACGTGAGCAGACTCTTAATATTTAATAAGAAGATCCCTATTGTAATCATAGTGGCCTTTGTTGTTGTATCTTACAGGTTGAGTCCCGCAGAAGTTGCATTCCTAAGGCTGTACCACCATGAAGCCACTGGTGAAAGCTTCAAACATCCTCCAGTCTGAGTCCACTTCCTTCATGGGAGGGCTGCTGCCAGTAATCCAACAACTACTGTCCAAACTTAGCAGGCTGGAGACATCAAGCAAGACATGCATGCCACTCATCAGAGTGCAGCATGGCCTTCAAAAACATTTTGGACCAATGATGGAGGATCCAGAGTTGGCTGCAGCTGCAGTCCTCTTACCCAAGTTCAAGCCTTCCTGGACTGACAGAGCAGATGTAATGGAGGCTGGTATGCCAGATTTTTTTTCAAAGATTCATATGATCCCATTTTTGTGTATTATTACATATGAACACATTTAAGTGAGTATGTCACCTAATACATTGTAAGTTATTGATGGTGTGTCCTTAATATCAAACAATCATTTTTGAGAATTAGCTGATTTTAAGTTTGTGTGTTCAGGAATAATCACTTAAATTTAAATAACAAAATTGTGTTATCTACTTGCAGCCTTGACATGCATCATACAACATCTTAAAACGATGGAGCATGAGAGTGAGGATCAGCAAAGAGAGTCATGAAGATGAATTCTTCTCCAGACCAATCTCCAGAAGGCTGCAAATTGCAGTTGAGCTTGATGGTTATCTTGCTTGTGCCACAGACCCCATGGAGCTGCTGCACTCCTTCTCAGCCATCAAGAACCTCTCTCTTAAGCTGAACACAGCTCTGCTTGCTTCTGCTGCGTGTGAACAACTTTTTAGCTGTACTGGTTTACTCTTCACAGCCAAACAAAGCCAGATAGCCTCTGTCAATTTAGAAAAGCAGCTCTTGCTGAAACGGAACAAAAGGTTCTGATAGTGAAGTGTGACAGAAATGCTATTATGTGTGGGAGTTTAAGACACTTACCTGCCTGTTGTTCACAGTGTATTGGGAAAAGTTTAACTGTTCCATGCATGTTCAGAAACATTTTTGTCATTGTTTTAACAAACAACATTTCTGCTGTATATTTATATTTATTTACAAAACAAATTACCTTTCTATCCCTTTTTAATCTGAGAAATGTGCTTTGAACATAAATATTTTATACTGATGAATCGAATCGAATGCCTGCTATAGGACCAGTCAAAGGATTTTCAAAAGTGACTCCATCAATTTAAAAGAGCCATTATAATTTTAAAACTAGCCAATTTAAAGTCTCCAATTAGTATTCTAGAAACGTTTTAAAATCGATATCACTATTTTTCCTACATTACAGAAACCTTGTTACTCGACTTGAAGGTTCAATATCTACAGCTTGTCCACCTCCGATTTAATATCAACAATTTCATCTTCAACTAATCAATATCTGTTACTAAAAAATTCAAATATGTTTTTATCCTCTGAGTTGTCAGGTGGTGTGCTGGCTTCATGTTGAACGGAGAATTTCTTTAGCGTTGCATCATTTTCCAAAGCAGTTTCTGTTTCTGCAGAGCTGTCTAGCTCACCTGGAATTTGTTTATCTTCAGGAATTGGAGGAATTGATTGCTATGTGGGGCGTACTTATAATTCTTATAATTCTGACTTTTTCCTCAGAATTCTGACTTTAATCTCAGAATTCTGACTTTTTTTTTCCATTGGCCCTAATCCTCCTCCGTACAACCCTTTACTTTAAAACAAAAGTAATACTTCATTTACCCCCTCAAGAACATTTATATTACTGTGTGTGTGCCCCCTTCATGATTTTAGCTTTTTGCATATTTGTCACCCTGATCATTTCACTGTAACGTCTCAGTTGAGGTAAAAAAAAAAAAATTAAGAAAGAAATGGAGCGTAAATGGCATCCAGGGGAGAGTACGGGGAGAAAACCACTGCTGAGTATAAACAACACAAACGCTCATCTCACATTTTTTGAAATGCTTCTGCATGATCCCCAAGACTTTGAAGAAAATATTCTGTAGACTGTTTGAAAATACAAAAGTGGAACTATTTTGAATCCCATTACATCACACTAACAACATTTCATAAAAACAACATCATAGCAGCAGTCAAACATGGTGGTGGCAGTGGTACTAATGGTACTCAGGAGCCATAAATTCTGCTCTCAACTAGAAAATCCATCCATCAGTCCCTGTCCTGAAGCTCAAGCACACTGAGGTTAAGCAGCAGGACAAAGATCAGAAACACAGCAGGAAGTCCACCTCTGGGTGGCTCAGAAAAACAAAATGAAGGCATTAGAGTGGCTGAGTCAAAGTCCAGATTGACTCAGCCAAGATGCCAAGATGCCTTGGTGTGACTTTAAACAGGTCAGTCATGCTGGAAAACCCTTCAATGTGTATGAAATGAAAACAATTCTGCAAAGAATAGTGGGCTAAAATTCCTCCACAGCAATATGAAAGACGTATATTGTCAGTTATCAGAAACACCCAATTGCAGTTCTTGCTGCCAACGGTGGTGGAAAATTTAAAAAAAAATCTGTCTCTGCTGAGTTAACGGTAAAAATCTTTGTTCTAAATTTTGCTATTTTCCTTTATTATGGCCTGAATTGAATTAGTTGATTGATCTCTCGTTTGCTCAAGAAAAGAGATCTGCTGATGCGCAAAATTAATATTTGAACGTTAAAAATTAAGGAGAAATTAACTAGGTGTGAGGTGTATATTTACATAAATTAAAATAGAAAACAGCAGCTGACTGGACTAAATATGGAAGACAAAACCTGCCAAAATATAAAATAAATACAAAATGGTAAATGGCCTGTATTTGTACAGCGCTTTTACTAGTCCCCCCTAGGGACCCCAAAGCGCTTTACACACCAGTCATCCACCCATTCACACACACATTCACACACTGGTGGAGGCAGCTACAGTTGTAGCCACAGCTGCCCTGGGGCAGACTGACAAAAATATATTCATACCAATTAAAATGTACAGTAAGTGCCATTAAATGCACAAAATGTAACAACTAAAGAATCATTAATTATATAGTGTGACATAACTGTTTTATTGTAAATTAATTTAGATTAGATCCTCTGTTTGTCTACACATATTTATGTATTTATTTAGTTGTTTATTTAGGTGTACAATGATCCTAACTGTAAATGACACCATTTTTCTTGTAAATTATAACGTTACTCTTGGATTTTTGTTTTTTCACTGTTTATTTAATTGTTTGTTGATACAATTGGGACTTCACTGTTGAACCTTTTTTCTCAGACTCATCCCTATTTTTTTTTGTTTTTCTTGTCTTTCAATCTACTGTCATATCAAAGTATCTGAAGAATAAAATAACACTATAATAATGTATGATTTTGTTCTCAATTCATAATCACTTTGTGATTTTAAATAACATATTTAATAAAGAGACATGTTAAAAATGAGGTAAAGATCAGTCAGACCTGGTAACAATGGTTTGGGTCACACATGTTTTTGTTTTTTTATTTTGTTTTGTTTTGTTTTTTAAATCTACCAACAAATTACTGGCATGTTTGCCAGCTTGTTGTAATACCTCCTGACTGACAGAGGGCGCTGTTGGATGTTTCTTGCGTGTGATACTGGGGGGGTTTTTTCCGGTGGAAAACAACAACAACCTGTTAGAGGAGTTAACGCTGAAGAATAGGCGGCAGCATGTTTTCTACCGTGAAGGAAAGGGTTGGGGAGGTGCTGTTACCGGGGGACGAGTTTTCCTTCGAGGCCGAAGAGAACATTTCTCTGACGGTGCCGGTGAAGTCGGAGAAGGTGGTGTGCGGTCCGGGCCTGCGGCGCTGCGGTGACCGGCTAGTGGTGTGTAAGAGCGGCGTGCTGCGACACAAGGAGCCCAACGTGTTCTGGATCGATTCCCAACAGAGAAGGGTGAGAGAAATATTAGTAAGATAACGCCAGTGTGAGTTTCTGATAACCTAATTCATCGATAGACGCTGGTTTTCTGCTCTCTGGATGCTAATTTATCTCAGAAACCTGGAAGTGTGAAAAGTGTGTTTCTCTCAGTGTTCAATTATAACCCCGAATTAATCACAGCACCAAGCAGACCTCCGGAAGCTCTCATGTTTTGGTCTGAAACTTCCTCCTGCAGGTTAATTCATAAGTATACAAAAATTGAAATGGAGTTTGGCAGTGTCCAGTGGAAGTACGCAGTAAAGCGGTGTCGGAATGTAAAGTAGTGCGTGCTGGGAGCTGATTATGTCTCTCTTTATCCTCAGTATGTCCCAGCTAAAGGAGAGAGCATCATCGGGATCGTCACCGCCAAATCTGGAGATGTCTTCAAGGTGGACTTCGGAGGGAGTGAGCAGGCGTCTCTGTCCTACCTGGCATTCGAAGGGGCGACCAAGAGGAACAGACCCAACGTCCAGGTATCCAAAATCAGACTGACGTTTGGTGTGCAGGGAACTCTAAAGGTAATCAGCCTTTAGGTTAAAGAGAGCCACTGTAATGATTCCCCCTCTCTCCTCCCTGTGTGTTTGTGTGTCACCTGTACAGATGGGCGACCTGGTGTTTGCTCAGTTCCTCATAGCCAATAAGGACATGGAACCAGAGCTGGTGTGTATTGACAGCTCAGGACGAGCTAATGGGATGGGAGTGTTTGGAACAGGAGGTCTGCTATTCAGAGTCTCTCTTGGTCTCGTCAGAAGGTAACTGACACATGGCACCCTCTACAGCTAACATGACATG